AAAGTTTAAGAAATCAAATTCAACCAATTTATGTTCTTCATTGTTATAGAAAGCTTTCTTTACTCAAATCACTCTAACCACATTACATACAGGGACTCAAGGTTAGACTATAAACCTATGAAAATCATACTCAAGTCTAATATCCTTATTTAACCATTTACTATTTATTAGACAACAAACAACAGTCATAGTGAAGAGTTTAGATACTTGGTCATAACTGAAAATAGTGATTACAAAAATGCAGTTTTTGAAAAAAAAAAATTTTTCTCCAGAAATTTAAGGAAAATAAACTTTGGCCAAAACTTTTTCCAATTTAGATATTTATAGAATTTTTAAAGAGCACAATATTTTTAAAAAATATTAAAAGTGAAATGGGCTTCTCTTGTTGCTAGAATGAGTTCTTGTTCCAAAGCCCTTTACGAGACTGGAAAGAGGAAGGTCAAAACTATGATGGCACAGTCTTGTTAATTAATGTAAGCAGATTTTAGAAAAATGATTGAGATGTTGAGAAAAATCAAATGGTTTAAAACTGGAAATTTTCTATTTAAGAAGAACACTAAGGTTTTAGTGTCCTCAAAAAAATAATTATTTATTTCATCTGGTGAAAATTAAATTGATTATAAGAAAAGCAGTTAATTGAGATTAAATGAAATGATTGTTGAAAGAAATCTATCTTGCAATGTACTTTACCCAAAGATAGAAGTCACAAAGTGTTTGTCATAGGGCGTTTCGGCAGGAAGAATGCAAATAAGCTAGCACAAGTAGTATATTAGTGTGGATTTTATTTTTATATGAAGTGTGAGAAAAATACAGAAATATTAATAGTGGCGTTATTTCCAAATGCATTGAAGCAAGTCCAAAGGGGGCTATTACTCTTTTTTGGCCTCTCAAGGTCATAAAATTGGTATACATTCACTGGAAAATAATAAATGTATTTGTAAAAGCATGCCTGCCAAATCCAACATTGTGGAATAGTGCCCTAGTTTAGAGCTGCAACTTAACTCAAGATTTTGTAAAAACAACCATATCCAAAAAAATTTATATCTCAATATTGCAAAGGTTGTAGTGCAGAATTTTCACATCCCTTTAAGGATGTGAAAATCTTGCAAGTTCTTGAAGAGATGAAGTGCAGCAGGCAGTTTCTGACTTCCTCAAGCAAAACTAAAAAGTGCCTGTTACCAAGCCAGTCAATTCAAGCTGGTGAAGTGGTGGCTTAATTGCCTAAATGTAAAAGCCAATTTTGCATGCTTAACATGAACTTTTTGTTCAACCCTGAAAAATCAAACATCTTAATTTCTTGGGAAAACTTCAAAGCAGGGTTGGCAAGGTTTAGGACAGAATGGATTAATCCACGGTTTAAACCGTTCTGTCCAAAACCCTTTTACTCAAATTATGTCACAACTTTATCTGAACACTATTTAAAAGGTAAAATAAACATAGAAATAATAACACATTGATAATTAAATCTACTAGAGAACATTTGCTTTTAAAAGTATTATGTTTTATTAATATTGCTTGACTCTTCAATTTAAACATTAAACAAAGGAAGATTAATCAGTAATCAAGTTCAATTGGTCCTCTCATTCAATAGTACATAACTGAAGTTTAACCTTGCCATACAGGTTAAGCTATTATATTCAAGAATACTTTTATTTCTTTCATGTTCGATTCTCTTAGCATAGTGGTGATACATCACCAGTGTCAGTAAGTGAAACTGATGTTATGCCCTTCAAAACTGTTAATACATTTTTCAGTTATTTTGTATTTCCAATTTAAACTAATATATTTAAAAATAGTTTTTTTTTAAAAATAGATGCCTTTTTTATTATCCTGTGATGCAGAAATTATAAAAATTTTTTAAAAAAAATATTGCGAAAAATAAAAAATTAATTTTTAAACAAATTTAGTATTTTTAAATTTTTTTTTTTTACAATATTGTATTACTTATCTTTATGCAAAAACATTATCAGTATTAAAAGCATATTTATATTTAAAGGAATAGGTATTCACTTTTGTTGTTCAATGAATTGTGGAGCTTCAAAGATTAAAAAACCTTTTCCTATTATATTATATTTTCTTTTACTAAGTTAAAGTAAATTGTATAAAAAATATCAAATATTTATTGATACATGTAATTATTATGTGTACAATGGTTACACCTATAGAATTTTTACCTTTTACCAAAGTTCAAGGTTATGGACACTTTAAGACAGTTTTATCCATTTTAGAACAGTAAAACCCACATGTCTTGTCCAAAACCAGTTTAGGACGTCCAAAACCCTAACCCTGCTTCAAAGAAATCCTTAAGATAGTGATGTTTGCTACTTAAGATACAATTTTTAAATCAATGCTCATAAAATAGTAGAAACATTTATAACGAGTTGTGTTTTATAGATTGCACTGCTGAATCAACAAATGACTAGATAAGAATCACAGAACATGTTTTAAGTCACAATCAATTTTTACAATGAGCTGAAGCTTGAGAATATATTTTTTCAAAAAGAAATTAAGATAATAAATATATTAGCTATTCTTTACTTGATTAAGTATATTTGAAATAGATATGTTATTCTTGTCCTTACTAAAATATTAAATATGGCACTCCTATATTGAAAACAGTAGTAACAAGTGCAAAAGAAATAACGAAAATAGTAAAATAATAATGATAAAAAAATTAAGTATTGTGAAAAGTAGAGACTGATTTATATTATGTCCAGTGGTTCCCAAATATAATTCTAATGGTACGTTAAAAAGACAAACAAACCTATGATACTATATAGAAAATAAAAGGATTTTTAAAAAAAAATCTAAACAGAAATAAGACTATTTTAATTGCAATGTGAAATAAAAAATTCAGTGGATTTCACTAAAAAGTAATTATTTTTTTTTGCAAATTATTGAGCAATAAATAAAATGTATTGTAACTTAAAAATTTTGTAAAACAATAAAGATGACAAGAACTAATTACTTTAATAACAAATTTGAATTCCTTTCAACATTTTATAAGTGATGCAATTGCAAAATAAACTTCATCATAAAATTTATTTTCATTACATTCATTGCACTCTTAAATTTAAAAATTTGGATACTAAATTCCGTTTAGATGGCTCTGATTTATTAATTAATATAAAATTTGAAAAAGAAAAGCTTCAACCTTAATATATACATATATTATATATAAATATAAACTTCATATTTGAGTACATGAAAATTAGAACTGTTGATCAAATGAGGATACTTAGGGTATATAGATGGTACAATATATAAAAAAAGTTTGGGTACCACTGCAATATAACAACAAAATACAATACTTATTTTATAATACTGATTAAGTTCTCCTAAATGCCAATTTTTTAAAGATTATTGGAATTGTTTTCACAAAACAATTCCAATGACTACAATAGAAATTAAATTTAAATATTGTGAAAAAAATCACTTTTTTTATAATTTGTATACATTTTGATATAGATAAATTCAAATAACAGTATTCATTAAATATTTGAAACTTGTACATATAGATATAAATTACAGAGCTTGTTAACTATTTTTTCCCTAAAATAAAATGGTGAATTTTCAATATGAATAAAATCCTGATTACAAATTTACATCATTTAAAGATTTTCTGAAGCCTAATATAATTATCTCTTGCATTTGCAAGTATACAAGATTTGCCCAGGAAACGAAAAAAATTCAAAATCGGAACATTTTTGGATAAAATATTTGAAAAGACCTAAATCAAGAAAACTTTTTCAACTAATTTTAAAATTTGATATAATATATTCTAGCAAACAATGCACAACTGCCAAACAATAACAATGAAAAAGTCATTCACTAGTATTTCTTTTCAGTTATGTTCAGTTTTAATATATTGTAACATTTAAAGGCAATAAAGAATCAATTGTACAATATTATAACATAATGATTTAAGCATTAAAAGTAATATCACATATTCCAATATCTGAGTTAAACTCCTAAATGTTAATACTGAATAGAAGCTTAATGGTATTGTTTCCATGCGGTATAACATTGAATGTAACTCATTAATATTGTCATTATTCTGTGAATTAAATGATGAACTGCGGAATTGAAGAAAAATAAGTAATTTACAATAAACAACGAACAGCCTCAGAGGTTGTGCACAAATTGTGAGTTGCTTAATTTTTTTTGTAACTTGTACATATAATCTGTAGTCTAAAACAAATGAAATGAAATTAAAACGTAGGACAATGAGATTAAATTACAAAATTTTTAAAATAAATTCATTAAAAGACCATTACTTGATAGTTAATATATTTCATTATTTAAATTTTTGTCTAATTTTTTAATTAGCACTAAAGAATTGGCTTGGTACTTCTTACGAAATTATTAAGTTATTTCATATATGCATAACATTTCCAAGCAGTCGATCAACTACTTGTTATACTGATTTAAATACTTCCACATTTCAACCATCAATACTCAATGACCAAACAAGCAAGCTAATAACACCTGTCTTGTTGCAACTTACAGATTACATATACAAATTAAAAAAAATACAGCAAAAAACTCACAGACTTTTTCATAATAGTGCATCTCATATTGTAACATGTAATCACTACTGTATCCAATGCAATAACGTGATAGTAAGTGACCCCTAAAATAAGGGTCATATCATTCTTGTGTTTATAATATTGTAAGCTTACTCTTATGTAGACATAATTAGGGTTAAGATAAATTAATGAGCAAGTTCTGTGACACAAAGCCAGCAGAACACACACTAAATCATCCGAACTGTTATCATATGCAAAAAATGGGGGAAGTTTAATTCCTATACACGATAAGGAAAATATCCTTTCTCCCTTTTCGTGTAAAAAATAACTTAGGAGTTAAATAAAAATGTTTTAATTAAAATCAACTTTTATTTGTAAATATTATATAAGGACTTATATTGTATATTTTACGGTTGCTTCTTCAATCAAATAAAATTCTACATAAGTTATGCACTGGAAAATTCAGAATCGAATTGGTGCAATTTTGACAGACCAGTTTAAATTTAATTTTTTTAAACGTACTGTTATTATAAGGCAAAGTGAGGAAATTTTGCTACTTGATAGTGTTTAGTTGTTTTAACAAATGCTTTGAAGCATGTGGCCATTTTTTCAAAAATTGAAAATTTTAAATGATTAAAAAAAATTGTGGATATTAATAGTATAAAGCATTTCTTCTAAAACATTTCTTAAAATATAGCAAATATTACAGGACGCACTTCTAAAATTAAAAAAAATTTTAAGAAACAAGCATGAAATAAAGTAATTTTCAGGGCAATACATAATATTTATAATAATTATATATTTATAAAAAATAATAATGAAATACACAATTTTTAATAAAAAAAAGGTGGCGACTAGCAGGCAAACTTTTAATAGTCATTTGTTATGTTAAAATGTCCTGCGGCTGATGGTAATTTTGCATTATAACTGCTACAGTGCAGTTTTTGCAGTTAAAATTATTTTAACTATTAAAAACAAATCTTTTCTATATAGAATATTATAACCTCATGAAGAAACTATGAATTTGAAAATAGAAGTTCACAATCAAGCGAATGCTTACAATTTGAAAGCTTTCAGAATGTGCTGTGTCTTGCTCTGTGTCACACAATTTACTCTGTAAATTACCTAAACTAACTTAGTATAAATATTATTGTGAAGAGTGAAAAATACCTCATAGCGTTCAGAAAAAAAAATACTTTAAAAAAATTGAATTATAATGTGCATTGATATTCGTATTTGAACTTTAAGGCACGAAAAAATTGCATAAATGCGGGAGTTAGAGAAATCTTTGAAATACATAAAGAAAAAAAAATATTTAAAACAAATATTTTTGGAAATGGGAATTACTAGTTACTATTTGAATACTAGAAACATAATTGAACAATGTGTTTACAAAAAATGAGATCAATGATATTTCAGTGATAATTTTAACAACTCCCCGACAAGATTTAAATTCTGCTGTGTGGTTGTAAAACTTAAATCAATGTCAATACTAACAGCAATAACACAAAAGACCAACATAGGCTGCCAAAAAGAGTTAAAAAATATTGTTAAAATCACTGTTAAAAAGTTAGTAACAAAACAAAAATTAAGTACAATAATAAATCTAATGAAGACAAAAAGAATTTTGCATTATTTTGATTAAAGCGATAAATCATTTGCTTCCAAATGGAAGGTAAGTAGTACCAGAGAATGCAAATTTAATTATTCTATGGTAACAATGAACATTTTAAAATATTTAAAATATAACATTTATAATTTTTTTTTAAATTTGATGAAAAGTACAACTAGAGACAATATCAATTGTTTAAATTACAAAAGTCTATCCCAATTAAAATCATCCTCAATTTCATCATTATCATCACCAGTACAAGACCCTGGTGTATGAACTGAAGAGTTTAAAGAAATATGAGAAGGCAATGGCACTGGACTTGTCTATAAAAGAAAAATATAGCATACAATTAGGTTAAGAAAATTTCTTGAATTAAATTTATCAGAGTAAAAAATTATTAAAACATACAAGTCAGTTTACAACAAAGTACAAAAGGCATAATAAAAGAAATCTATTGCCTTTATTTGGACAGCTTTAAGTGAAATAAGATAAACCTCTTTCTTAAGCTCAGAGGAAAAAAGTTTATTTTAATTAAAAAGACACACATTCAAATAATTTCTTTGTAAATACATGATTATTATACCGTGTATCAACTGATATATGATTAAATGATTATTAAAAATAATAAACTTTAATGAAAATTTTCTTTTTGAAACACATTTGATCAATAAAAAAAATTTGAGAATTCATGAAATTAAAATATTCTAAGCACACCTTTAATCTCATATTCTTTAGTGAGAATTATGTTAAGAAACTAAAAAAAAAAAAAAATATTAGTTTTTATCTATTGTCTAAAAATTTTGGAGTGCAACTAAACTTGGAATGCAAGTAAAACATTTGACAAATTTTTTCTCGTTCATTGTATCTTTATTAAATTATTATTTATGCTTTATTATAGCTTTCAAACTTTTTTTGTAAGCAAAAGGCTCATAACTTTAAAAAAAAAAAAAAAAAAATAATGAACTTATGAAATCACTGAGCAACAGCATTGCAAGATTGTGGGTAATGGACAAAACTTAAAGCAATAATTCATATCTTACATACGAAGAATAACATTTAATTTAAATAGAAATTGAATCTCCAAAAATAATTAGAGAAGATATAATAAGTCATTTGAAGGACTCACCTCAGCTTGTGATTGATAAGACAGATTGCTACTTTCTGCAGAAAATGCATGAGGAGAATTGCTGGAAACTGGTACATTAGAAAGCATACAAGAATCTATTAAGTAAAAATAAGTGATTAATAAACTATACTAGTGTATTGAGCTTAAAAAGTAATTGAATAGATCTGTCTAACTTGCATGTAATAAATTCATTTTTTATTTTATTTATAAGTAGTACTTAATTTTAAAGCCCATTTGTTTTGAAATAAATTCCCTCTACATTAAATTTTGCAAAAAATTTAACTAAAAACATATGACCACACAAATCATGCTAAATACAAAGTAATAGCAAATTTATTTTTTAGAGAATATTTTGTAACAATATTTATTTAATTATTGTTTTCAATTATACACAGTATTTTCAGGTGAATAGATCAAGCCAGTGTTTGAGACAGCATTCTGTTTCAAAATGTTTTTTTTTGCGTATTCCATGTGCAAATGAACCACTGAATTCAAACTTGATAAAAAATAAATTTCTTACGACATAAATTTTTTTCCCCTCAGGGATGTAAACTGAGTGCAAAAATTACCTTTTAATAATATTTTAACCAAATTAAGAGGCTACAACTGACATTTGCAATTGTTTGATCACATTTTTGATATGGTTGATCACAGTTTTTTTTATCCTTAAAACTCAATACATCCCACGAAAAAACACACATTTAGTTAACAAAACATGAAGTTATTGTAGTTATATATCAGAATATTTTGCCAGTATGTTAAATGTAATGAAATGAGTGATTACTTGGATTTTAAAAATTAATTACCTGTACTTTGAAAAAAATTTCATCTCTTAAGATAAATTGTGTGATTAAAAAAGGAAAATAATTAATTAGACTCGTTAATGAGACTTATAATAATTCAAATAGGGAAGGGTTTTCTCTCTTATGTTAAGTCACTCTTCACCTTTTTTTTGTTACTTCTAACATTAAATCAAGCACCAGCGTATAAAATAATGATTATTTTGATAGAAAAAAATTCTAAAAAAATAGAAAAATGGTCAATATTTCGAGCAAAAACACTGAGAAGAATTCACAGAAAAAGCACTTAAAATTGGGATGACTTTTGAACAAATTGGAGTATAAAAAAAAAGAAGAAAAAAAAGAGATAAACATTATAAATAGAAATTGCCGTCTCAGGAAGTCAAATTTGTAATTAATTGCATTTCTACAGACAGCAGTCATCCATATGGCATTTCTTTATTATAAGTTTAACAGTTAATAATTCTCAAACTAATTATTGAATATGAATTTTTTATTTATCCCATCGTGTTCATATTTTTTAGACACCTTTTAAGTCTTAGTTACTGCACAGCAAAACAAAATGCAACATAAATCAAGGGCGAAAAAAATGCGCAAAATTAGCACTTAAGATTACAATAATTTTCGAAGAAAAAAAAAACTTACGTTAAGTCAATAATAAAAATTACCTTTTCAGTACATTAAATTTTAACTCCACAGTTACAATTATGCAGTCAGTTGAGTGGCCTACACAGCATGGCATTTCTTAATACAAATTTAATGATTAATATTCAAACTTATTAATGAATGCTATTTTTATATTATTTCATCATACTCTTTGTACATTTTTCTACACATCTTTGTAACTTTAGGTTTTAAAGTCTCACAGTTTTGATGCAACAAAACAAAATGTAAAGTAAAGTTAATCACCTAGAACAGTGGTGGCAAAGCATTTCGGATTTCTCGATATAAAGAGAAAAATTAAATTTTTTTTAGTTTAACCTTCAACTAAAAGACATAGTTTACTCACTTAACAATATGAACATAATTCAATGTTTGTTTTCGGGCTTTTTTTATCATGAAAAAAATCAGCAGATACTTTAATTTTAAAAAATCATCTCCTAAAGCAGAAAACTGAAACTTTTTTTTAATATCAAGATCCACTAGACTCTTAATATGGATTTTTAAGTGCTAAAAATTAAAGAGTGTGCATTTTAATACCTCTTGAATAGTTAGTTTCGATACACGTGTTTTGATAGCAGCTTTGCATAGTGCTAGCAGTAGGAAGAGATGCAGTTTGCATAACTCCTGACTGTGAGAATAGAGCATTTAAAGAAGAATTCAAATCTGCAAGTTGATCTGGAGATAGGACAGACATTGTTGGATCTTTTGACTTTAAATTTTCCATCATTTCTAAAAAGAGAGCATGATTAGCACAAAATAATGACTGGATACATGATTAGCAAATATATATATAGCACAACAAAGACAAAAGGGATAAACAAAGAAACTTAAAAAAAAAAAGTTTTATTTACTGCGTATAAGCTGTAAGTATATAGTAAATAATTTAAATAGTAATATAGTATAACTTATAATAGTATAAGAAGTTAAATAACATTTACTCCGAGAAATCAGTCTTACTTCGTAATCATGATGATAATATTGATTTTAATTTTATTATAAGTAAACAAATTACTTGGAATTTTAATGTTTCTATAAACATTTTTAAAATAAATAGAATTAAAAGAATATGTAGCAATGTTTATTTATCCAAAAAAACAATATTTTTCAAAAATTGAAAGAATAAAACAACGGATACTCAACTAATGTAATTAAGTTTTATATAAAATTATTGATTTAATTGCATGCCATTATCAATAAAATTACTAAAAACTTCTTTGTTAATTTATATTTTTACTATGTACAAATTCAATTCGGGCAAATCCGTGGCTAAAAATATGTGCAAAATGAGCAAATCATCATTAGTTTATTTTAAAATAAATACTAATTTACAAAATCACTTAAATTGTATTAAATATCAACCTTATTAATCATAAACTTTAAATCATCCAGTGTAATATTGTTACCTTGCGCACATCCACTTTCGGGACAATCCATGGTAATTAACAAATCAAATGCGCTTAAGTACTGTAGTAAGAACGTTCCATAAAAGATCTCTCTATTTACACTTATGTTGTCTTATTTTGTAATATAGCAATCTTATTATGAAAATATTTTAAAACATTCCTGAAAGATTCCAGTACGTGTATGTTCATTTGAGCCTCGTTACCCGCTTTATAGATTTCGTTTCGCTCGGTATTTTCTTTACATTTTATTTTCTGTTTTTTGCTTGGTATATTTTTCACTTAATATATTTTATTTTCATATCAAAATTTTTTTAGTGCTGCTCACACTATTGTATTGATATATTTTGCTTTAGCTACATTGATACAATATTAGAAAGCACTCCTTTTTGCGGATATAATGGTGTGAGCTGATGCAGAGATTTTATCATTGTTTATTTTCCGGCTATTTAATGTTCTTTTTAAAAAATATTTTATTTTAATAATTTTTCTTCCTCTCTTTTCATTAATCTGTGCATACATATGTATTTGTGCATACATTTGTGTAGCATATATATATTGTAAGAACTAAGATATTTCAACTAAACCTTGAAATTGGGACATATCAATGTCTTGTAAGCCACCATTTCCAGTCATTTTTGCACTTTCTCTCAACCAATCTAAACTTTGAACAAAATCTGCAGTTGTCATTTTATCTGAACCTAAAAAATTTAGAAAAAAAAAAACTTAAAAAACAAAAAATAGTTTACACAAATTTTAATATATATATAAATGTTTTTTTAAAACATGTAAAACCCAAATTAATATTTTAAACAAAAGATTAAAGTGATTAAGCTCAATGGTTTATATATATAACAGTTCATGAATTGGAAATGTGCTGAAAGTACATAAGTGAAGAGGGAGCCAACATAGATTGGTCATAGATAGATCATTTATATGAACACATCAAAAATTATATTTCTGTTCTCCTTTTTACTCTAGTTGTGTTAAATACAGTCTTCAAATTGATAAGAAAATTAAAAAAATTTTCAATGGGGAAGAAGCATTGAGAGCATTTAAGATGTCATTTCAACTCCAGGGGTATTATAACCTGTGTGGTCCAGATGAAAAGATCAAAAGATGCCGCTGTCCGAATTATTTCAGGAGAGCAGTATCATTTTCTCTCCTTTTTACAAGGATATAGCAAAGTGACAAGAGAAGGATTGATTCTTTAGTAGTGAAATAGCTTAACAATATTTTTAGTTATGGATAAGGAAAAAATAAACCTGTTTCAAAAATGGCGAAAAGTTGTGTATTTTTTTCCATGCAATTTATAGCAGAAATAGTTTTTTTTCTTCTTTAATTTAGAAAAAGTAGCGTCCGGTTTGAAGAGATAGAAAATAATGTTTCAGGGCCAAAATGACTGTCTGCGTCCGGTTACGGGAGTGTCTGCTTTGCGGAGAATGTACATAATGGTTTATTCATAGAAGATTACCAGGGAATTAAAAATATGTCCGTATTGAGAGGCATCCATTTTGCAAGAGTGTTCATAGCAGGAGGTTACACTGTATACATAAATAAATATAGGAAAAAAAGTTTTTATCTATATTTGTCGCATAGCATGGGAATAGTGTAGACAAGTGGTAACAATTTTATCATTCAAAAAGCCTAACACAATAAGACAAAAAATTATTGAGTGAAAAAAAGAGCCTAAATAAAATCCAGAGAGTACACTGGCCCTTTTACCATATTTTAAAACATTTCAACTACCTTGGTAACCAGAATCATTCTGTACAGAACCATTAATGGACATTTTTGCGTTTTCTCTAAGCCAATCCAAACTTTGAGCAAAATCTGAAGCAGGTATTCTATCTAAAAAAATAAAATTTGAAAGATTAGGAATGAAGAATATACAATTTTAAATGTCTTTATCAATAATGTGTTCCTATTTTATAATAAGAAATAACTAAGAGTAATACACAAGCTTAATTTTATTCACCTAAAATAAACTAATGCAAATTTTAATTGTAATTTGTTTTTGGTTGAGTAAATAAATTCATTTTTTGAAAAACATATGAAGTATGAAAACATATGAAGTATTGAAGGATGAGATGTATTAAAATTTTATCAAATAGTAAATACATAAAAAATAAAATACAGATGCACAATGAAATAAAATGTACCCCTTCGCTATAGTTTAAGTTAATGGGCTATAAATCTTTAATGTGTTAGTGATTGATTTATATTAGATGACATTGCTTAAGATATACACAAAGAAAAGCAGTTCAAGTTATACAAAAAAAGTAATTTTATTCAAATTAAATTATGTTGACTAAACATGAACACGAATAAACATGAGGACTCTTCGAGAAAGGGACATTTTCTCACAAGACTTCTAAACAACACTGTTACATAATTCAAGATCTTTCTATTTTATCTTAGAGTGGAGTTTCTTAATAATGCTCCGCTATGTGACCCACATAGCGGAGTGTTATTACGAAACTTCATTTTTAACCCTCCCCCTTGATAATACAAGATTCCCAATAATACACATGTACTGGTGAACATAACATAAAAAAGTGGTTTGTTTGAATCCCTTTGCGTCTAGTTTTGTTTGTCGAAATAAGTATTTGTTAATCTATGTTATCTTTTTAATTACCACAACCAAAGAATATAATAAAATTCAAAAAACATTTTTAAATTGAAAGTGAATCTGATTTAAAAACTGAGATAAATCATTCCTTTAAAAAGCAGTAAAGCAATATATTTTAACTGTTTGGAAAATTTGAAATACAATATCTTTTTATTATATTGGTAGTACAATGTACAAATAAAAATTTCTGAAACTTTGACAACAATGAAGTCAGACTTTAATTTTTAAATGTGTGTCCCATTTTTAGATCAATGAAACAGCAATTGGTGTTAGTTATCAGTAAGATTTAAATGATATAATAAATAAGTGATTTTAAAATTAAAGATATATTAATGTGTTATTAAAATACCTTGAGAATGTGATGTGTTTCCATTAAATTGCTGGTTATGATTACAACAACTATTGAGTCTCTCTTGCTGAGAAATCATATGTCTAGAGACATGACCTGTAAAAGTTAAATAACAAAACAAAATAATAAATAAGATAGCAATAATTTCAGATTAGCTTTCTATTAAAAAAAAAGAATTGTATAACTAATGCCTGTCTTATATATATCTGACTATTTTTATACTGAATATTTCTTTTAATTAAACTTCTACATAGTAGAAATCAATATCACATTTTAGACTTTGATGTACATGCAATTTAGTTCATTGAACAGCAAAAAATTAATGACAAAATAAGCTGTCTAGCACGGTAAAAGCCCTATTATCTGGAATCTATCAGAAATTTTGCAGGTTTATAAAAAAGAAATGAAATTAATCAAAAAATTATTGAACTATTTGGAAAATTGATAACTTCATCGTTTTTAAGAAAAGTTTTAAGCACAGTGTTATCATCACTTTTAAATTAATTGTTTTATTTTAAAAGTTTTAAGTATATAACATTTATTTCAAACAGAAAACCTTAATTACAGTAAGATCCAAAGTAGAAGTGCAATCTGAGTTTAAAAAGTTAAATGATATTGATTTACAAACAAATGAAAATTTATAAGATAAAATGTCTTTTTCTGTTGTTAAAAAAAGGGATTGTTTTAAATAATACAAATGTATAATTAAAAGGAAAAAAAAGGTACTTAAAAAAGCTAACAATAATTTAACAAAGGTAATAACAAGAAAAAAGTTATGAAAATTAACTAAATAACCAGAGAAAATATCATACAATACACAAAACTGTAACATTATTAAAAAAACAATTCAACGTAAGTGAAGAACAAGTAAGATTCACTACTAAAAATTTTATGACATTGCTTCAAATATTTCAGTTTTTAATATTTGTTTTTAGAACTTACCCATGTCATGGAAAGGTGGGTGAGAATTGGAAACGCCTACTCTTTCAGCATTCATATGAGTCTATTCAGAAGAAAAATAAATAAAAAACAATTTAATAAAACAGTTAAAAAAAATATTCTTGAAAAAAATTGTTTTATTACAAGCATAAATGTGGTAAAATATACAAGTAATTATATAAAACTTAAAAATGTTTGCTAATGCACTTATACAATTTAAAAGCTACTGACTATAAAAAAACTAAGACAATATATTATTTATTGTCAAACAATGACAACAAACAATTAGAAATTAAAAGCAAGAAAATAACTGTGACCAGTCTATTTTGTAATTAAACTTTACAAATTGCAATACAATAAGAATTTTTTTTTTTTTTAAAAAATAACTTATTTTTAAATTTTTATATGTTATAAATTTCTTTAGTAAAATTCCCAACAGTCAAGATTTTACTGTGTGTGTATAGATACAGATTGAAACTTGAAAGTAAATAGAATTTTTTAATCAAAGAGCATACAGTGAGTCATGTCTCAAACTCCATCTGGAATAAACTGTACATCTAGATATTTCTACTTTCAGTCATTACAAATTTGACAATCAATTAAATAAACTACAGTAAATATTTATCAGAATCACAGGGTTGCCACAGAAAGAAATGAACAAAAATAGTTGCTTTTAGTAGCCTCAAGCATGAAAATAGTTGCCTAAAACTATAAAAATAGTTGCCTAAACAGGAGCAAAAATTTATCAAAAATAGTAGCCAAATAATTAAAATTTTAGCTTAATTGTCAAATACTATGATAAGGACTGGTTGATGTCAGAAATTTTAAATCGTGATACATCGTTCGTTAGACATCGCGATTTAGCATATGTTCAGAAATTACCTATGGGAAATCAATCAAAAATAAATAAAAAGGAATAAATCTATTACAAAAGAAAATATTAATTCTAAACATATTCTACTATAATATCAATATCATTGCTTAATTTTTTCAATTAAAATAATAAAGAAGTAAAAGCAAACCCGAGATTTATTTCATTTTTGTTAAATTAAAAATGATTTAAGATTTATTGGTTTAAAAATAATAATACTGTAACAAAATATTTTACATATGTGTATTAAAATTAAAAGAAAAAAAAACAAAAGTAGAAAACAAACCAAAGAAATGTTCACTTTAGAAAAAAAATTATTTTTTTAAAATTATTTGTTGGAAAAAAAAGCCATGCTTTTGAAACATCATTAGACCCTCTTTTATTCAATTATTTAAAATAATATAAAGTAGTTTTAACTAATGGTTAAATTCTGTGCTGAATAAATGTAAAAATATTTTTACTTATTCATTATTATTTTCGTTTTTGAAAACAAAATTTACTAAAGATTTATTTCTTTAAAAATGACACTGACTATCTAACAAATTATAAAACAAACAAGTATTGAAAGAATTTTAATAAAATTTAAAAAAAAAAAGAAATACTCTATGTACTAATGTTAAATTATTAGCATTTAAACATTACTAAACTCTTCATTTAATTTTTAAAAAAAAATTTGGTTTCAGTTTCTCAAAAATAAAAGCAAATTAAATAAAGGCAAGCTTTATTTTAATTTTTTTAAAAATAAAAACAACTGAACATTTATTGGTTTAAAAATAATCAAATTATTATACTTACCTACATTAAATAAATTTGAAAAAAACTTAATTTTTATAACAAAATTAAGAACAAAATACCCCTATTAAATTGTATCGCTTAAAATGAAAAATAATAATTGAAAAAAACCAATGAAGAAACTTATTTAATTTATACTTTCTTTTCATTGATCTATTGAGTTCAGAACAAAAGATTAAGATAACAGCGATTGTGCAGCAATCGCAAAGTAACAGTAGGTCTACGAAAAATTAGTATAAGTATAAAAATAACTTCGCTAAGAGTAAAAAAGTCTCCCAATAGTCGCCTATTCCTGAAAATAGTTGCTTTTTTAGCCTTTTCAGGCAAAAAAAAAAGGCCATAGTCGCCTAAGGCCGAAAATAGTAGCAAATAGTCGCATTTTAGTAGCCTGTGGCAACCCTGGAATTAGGAAATTTTTCTCAATTGAAGACAATAATGTAATTAGGGTCAATAAATAAATGAAAAAAGAAATTAAAAGGAGATTGCCTTCAGAAACTGGATTGCTACATGGAATAAAAAGATATTACTTTAAAATTTTGCAAAAATTTGAATACAAAATATTAATAAAGAAAATATAGATAAGGGAAAAGGAGAAACAAATATACTGCTCTAATTTCATAATTTGAAGTTTTGGAGTTTTTATCACTTTCCTAAGCAGCACCATAGAGTCCATTATGAATCAAAAACGTCCATTATCAATTATATGCTATATTTCAATAATAAAAATTGAAAAAGAATACCATTCTAGAACAAACATCTGATATAGGTCTGAAATTTTGGAAAATTTTTCTTGTAAACATTAATTTCTGAATAAATTAATGGAGATCGACCAATTCTCAAGTAAGACTTGTCAGAAATTACTACATAGGCTGCACCGGCTCGCGTTGTTAAAATTAGCTTTTAAATATAAAGAGGCCTATCACTTAAAATTATTGTATTTACTATTTATTATTACTGTTTATATTTTTACTTCGTTTCATAATTTTTAATAGAATTATTAATGAATCAACATTGAAAAGCCACATACCCCCATTTGATGTCCAGGTGGCGAACAGACATTTGCCATCTGATGACAATGAACAGGACTTGATACAGTATTACTTGAGCCATTGTCAGAACTATATGGGAAAACCTAAAAATTAAAAGAAAAAGATTATAAAAAATCTAAGTTTCATACTTAAAATAACTCTTTGTAAGTAAGAATCAGCTGTAAATGAATTTAAATCTAATGTTTTCTCTCAGTGATATCAGCTCCTACCCTAACAAGCGAATGGTAAAAATATAGCGTAACTTTGTTAATAGCTGAAATGTTTGAGAAATTAATTGGAATAAGTGGCATAAGAAATTATAAAAATTAAAATTTATAAAAATAAAATAGCTTTACAAATTTTAATAAAGTCTGGCGCGATTTTAAGAACACTTTTTTAAAGTTTTTTACAGTAAAAATATGATTTCAGTACATAATCTCAGGTCAGAAGATTTCAGTTTTTTGCTATGATTTCTAAGGAACAAATACTTGTTGTTGTTTCTAATGCCACTTGCCACATGGGCAAGCATGCTGGGTGAAACCGAGCAAATTTAAGGTAAAGAGTGCGTTTCTTGTTTTTCAGTGGCGCCATCCTAAGGCTTAGAACTCGTCCTCAGCCACACACACGTCACAGCCCGTTTTATAGGGCAGACCCATTCACACATTCATCCACAGATAGTAATTTTTTCCCGAATCGGAGAATGATCGATCTCCAATCCAGCACCCCCAGAGGTATTGATTTGTTATGGGAACATGGAGGACTTAGCAACTCGACAGATTTAATGTGCATCAGTCACCATTTACTACACGGGGAGACTTCAGCCGGAGGTGTTCAAAACCACGAACATGGACACAGCGCCCTACCGACCAGGCTATCCCGGCCTATAAATACTTAGTGCATGCCTATCACCAAACAAAAGCTGATATGGAAATTATAAGAACAATACATCTCTATGCCTTACTCTAAAAATAAATATAATAAAGTAAAAAGAGTAAAGTGAAAATACAAATTTTTTATTGGAATACTAAACATCAAAAATACCATTTTTTAACAATTCAATATTTAAATAGGAATTAGGTTAAGGTGTATTGAATCTTTTTACAGCGATACAGACAATTCAGACAACCAGGATAGAGATGGCCCCAAGCATTATGGATAATTATTTCCTTACAGTATAACAGAAATGTTTCACATATAAATAACTTGCTCATTTCCAGTCCAAATATAAAAGGATTCAAGTAAACTGATGATTAAATTACCTTATCACGTTGCCTACATTTTCTTCTTCGTGAATCATCACTATCTGAAGGTGCATGATCTATTGCCCAGTATGAGCCCTAAAAATAACATCAGTCCGTATTAAAAAGGTCACACAACTAGTTATGTATTTAACAATTTAACATCATGAAACCGAGAACAGAAAAAAAAGCTATTTAGATTTTTGTTTTCTGTTTTTCAAGACTATGCAGGGATCTCACTGCAGATTGTCATTGCTTCTTTTTACAACAAAACAAATTATTTTATTTACTAAACTGTGAGAACTAAATAAAATTGATATATTTTTTTAATAAAATTTAAGAATTTTTTTTTCTCCATGATATTCTGAATTTTCAAGAGTATAATTGTTTTAGTTGTTATTATAATCAATAGTTGAATCTTTATCAATAACTGGGTTGGGGGAATAAATTTTTCTAACACTTTTTTCACTTAGAATAATTTCAGTTTTCTTTTCTTTTTTTTTTTTTTTTTATATATAGTGGTAGCAAAATTACTTAGTTGAAAGCGAAAGAGAAAACTGAATTTAAGAAAAATTTAATATTTTCAAGTATAATTTTATTAATTAGGCTTCATGAACAACTATAAAGTACAGTTTACATACATAAAATATGTTTCATAAGCTACATAATAAAAATATGCAAAATAGTAAGTCCACAGAACTTTATAACCTTTTATCATAAAAAGATAACAAAATATTAAAAGAATCATAAGCAAATTGTATAAAAAAGAAAAGAATATTACTGGTAAACTGATACAGCTCTATGAAGGGATACGGTTCAAGCAATGCTACAGTAAAGTTTACTTTGTTATGTTGTATCAGATAAATGGATAATATTTATTTTGATGAAAACAAAAATAAATAAAATGGTAAAGATGCCAAAGGTACACCATCACATTTTATTGCCTCAAAAATGTAAGTTAGTGGCAAATACATTGACTTTTTATAAAAATTGCAAAATACTTTCAAATCGTCATCAAAAAATTATATTTAAACATACTAACAAATTAAACATTTTACAGAAACAAGTTAAAAGTTTTTAAAGATTTTCCTCAATTATTAAAACTAAACACAAAATTTTCAAAAGCTTAAAATATTTGTACAAATAAATAAAAGAATAAAATTTACAAATTTTCCTTTTTTGAAGTGTAACTATATTAAATTAAAACTGAAATAATACTGAATCTCCAAAACGTACATGTTTTAATATTCATAATGTTAAAATTCTTTTTTAAAACAAATAAGAACAGCACTTAGCATAATATATTATTCCATTTAGCTATGACAAACCAGCGGATCTGCCTATTTTCGAGCAAAAATGTCATGATTTTGAAAATTTATTTTCAAAAACCTTGATATAAATAGTAGGTACGATAAAAACATTACTAAAAAAACTGGTACACCACAAATTTGTTACTAATGAAAAAGAGTATAAAAATGTTGATTGTAACAGAAAGAATATGCTACAACTAAAATAATTACATTTATTAACATTAGTAATAATAAGAAAAATGTGAAAAATATGAAAACAACTCACTTTTCCAGGATCATCTTTTGGGCGAGGAACTTTTCTAAAATATTTATTCAGAGAAAGGTTGTGCCTAATGGAATTCTAAAAAGAATAACAACAGTGAATTAGATACATTACAGAAATTTTAAATTATCAGTCTTATAATAAATAAATTTCATTCAACAATTTTCCAACCAAGCATCTAAATTAAACCTGTAATTTTGTTATGAATATTTTTTTTCCAAAGGTACATTTCTGCTTCCAAATTAAAAAAAAAAAAAAATTCTTAACACAAATAAAACTAAAAATGAAAACAATACAAAAAAATTACAAATAATGTTATACAATCAGACACAAAATAGTTTTGTTATCATAATGAATGAAAAATCTTTTCAATGTTTTTGAAATACTTATTAAAATAACTTATCTAAACTCCCCCCTCCCCAACCTCAATGACCAATCCTTTTTTTCAAAGATGCAACTTATGCCTGCTTACTAATACAAGCAATTTATTATAATACCAAAATGATCATGTCTGTCTATGTGACATTATTTTTGCTCTTTTCACATTGTTTTAACTTTATTTACAATTTTGTTTTGCTGAATAACTTCAACAGGTTTGTGAATAATCAAAAAAATTTTTCCCGAAAAAAAAGTACAGTGCGCAAAGAAAAAGAAGGACAACCTTGATGAATTTTCTGATAGGATAGGATTTGAATCTAATGACCTTCACGTTCAAGGACTCAATCTCAATGGCTTGAATGGGTAACTTCAAATATGCTAATTAATAAGTGCAGACAAAGTTAAGAAATCAAACACAAAAACATGCTTTCTCTGAATAAACATACCTTTCTTTCAACAGATTCAGAATTCTGACCCCAAAAATATAGGGGGTAGTCGCAATCTGGGAAATATAGTTAAAATAGTTTTGTCAGTATTCATTTCATATTTACTTTGTTAGCATTATCTTCAACTGGTTAAATAAAGTGGTTACTGGTTGAACCCCTCCATTAAAGTGCATTTTTTTGGGGGTTATTACTAAATTTTTTAAGTGATTTTAAATTTTAAAACGGTTTTTTCAGTAAATAACATTTTTTTTGTAAAAAAAATGAATTTTTTGAAATTATGAGGAATGCCAAGATATTTTTCACTCCATTCTTTATTTTAATTCAAACATTTGGATAGATAAATGACGGCTTAGATTGAATTATAAATATTCATTGTTAATTATACCCTTTTATTTTTCCCTTAAGAGTAAGTGATTGTACAATAACGAGTTTCTCTCATAGCAGCTTTAATTATTAAAGAATTTAATATAAATAAATTATTTTTTATGGCGATGTTTGTTATATTGAAAGGACAGGATTTTATTTCTTTCCTACCACCTGCAGGGTTATTCCTTTTGTAACTATTATTAATGTCCTGTTTTGTTTTGATATCAGATCTGAATTCAAAATATCTAAGAATGTTTTATCCAGATAAAGTATATTGGTAAAAATGTCTAGTTAAAAAAAGTAACTATCAGACCATAATGATATTAATACAATTTAAATAAATGACTTTTCTGTGACCTTAAAATAAAAATATTTCAGTTACCCTAAAAGAAAGGAGAGATTTCCGTATCGTGATCTGTGGCAGAATAATCGTCAAGTTTTGGAAATTTCCCAGCAGTAGCCCGAGAGAAACTAAAAAAAAAAATCACAGAAATGGACCGACTCAAAAGGTAGGATAGCTCGTAGCCCACTCCTGAGCAAACATCTACATGTTTTTTAAAAAAAAATTTGCAAGTTTAAAATTTATTTGGCACCTTGGCGATTGTAGTTGGGGCAACAGATCACAATACGGAAATATCCCCAAAAGAAATGCAATTTCTTTTTAAAAATGGAAAAGAGAACAAATTTTTAAAAGTACTTTTCGTTACGACTTTTAAAATTCAAACAAAGGATCCTTCTTTAAAAAACTTACGGAGGAGTACATTCCAGGAAATGGGTGCGTTACCAAAGTCTTAATCAATAATCGATAGCCTCTTTTACCCTTCTAAAAAAGTAGACCGATATTCACTTCACCTGCCTTTTCAAACAAATGCTTTTACCAGCACCCATGAGTTAATACATGGAACAAAAATACCCAAATAGCTTCTTAAATAATACAATTATTGGGTTATTTCTATATCGTGATCTGGGGCGCCAACTACAAACGCCAAGGTGCCAAATAGATTTTAAGCTTGCAAATTTTTATAAAAAAAATCATGTAGATGTTATCCTGGGGATGGCAACGAGTTATAACTTTCAAATTGGTCCCTTATGGTGTTGTTTCTGTCTAGTTTCTCGCGGGCTGCTGTCCGGAAGTTGCCAAGACTTGGCGATTATTTTGCCACATATCACGATACGAAAATCTCCCACGATTATTAGGTCAACAACTTAAAATCGCTTACTCTTTTTAAAAGTGGCTTTACTTTGATTAATGGATTATAATAACCCAAACTAAGTAAAAAATAATCTTAATTTTAACTATTAAAATTTTTTCTTTTTAATTACGCAATCAACTTGCAAAAAATTTGCACTTAGGCAAAATATCAGGAGAGAGGGCACGGACCCCTCCTTGTACCCTTTGACACTATGCTTATGCATTTCATAAGCTTTTTTTAACAAAAAATTTAAAGAATCATATAAATGGGTCAGTGAAAAAGGTTATATACTAGTTACTGTCACTGAGCTACAACCCAGTGGCTAAATTTTCATAAATTCTTCTCGTGAATTGCATAAACTATGAATATTTCCATATTATGATCTATCGTACGAACTACTATCCCCAAGGCACAAATATATTTTAATTTTGGAATTAAAAAAAAAAATATAGAGAGAGGTTTGCGCATGAGTGGCTTCAAATTGTCCCGTGATGTTTTTTGCTCCTCCAGGGCCGCTGACCGAATATTGGCAAGACTTGGTGATTATTTTGCAGCAGATCACACTTTAAAATTCTTCCTTAAATTATGTTCATTTCCCCCCCACTCACTTCTATTAGGGCATTCACACCTACTTCCTTTGTCTGTGCCAAAGAGTTTCTAAACTGGCAACAAGTTTTTAAAAATTTTGCACCTGTAGTGGCTTTATGATATACCTCACAAGTTGGTTCCTTTCGGTGATTTTTTAAAAATTACTTTGAAGGCCACTGGCCGTGAGCCGCGAAAACTTATTATTTTAGTGTAATCACGCGATTATTTTGGCGTAAAACGATACAGAGATCTTCCCTTCCATTGTTCGGTCTCATTGTACTACACACAAGAAAAATATGTATAATAGTAAACAATAAACTTCACACAAATATTATAAGACTAGGTTGACGTAAATAATTTTTAAAGATCTCGTAAGACTGTCGCAGCTAGTGAAAATTTGGGAGCTCCTCTTATTAAAAACAATTTAAGCAAACATTTCATGTAGAAGTCTTTTATGACGACGGAACTTAAGACTGTTTATAATAATTATTGTAAAACACGTCTTACTTTCCATCCATCACCAGCTTCTCGATAATATGGAAAATTTGAACAAATCCAATTATAAATTTCATTTAATGTCATTTTTTTCGAAGGGGAACTATTTATAGCATATGATATCAATGTTGCGTAACTATAAGGTGGTTTTCCATCTTTTTGTCTACAGTTTCTAGTGCTTTCACAAGTCACAGGATTATCATGTGCATCAGCTCCATTTAAAGAGCCCCTTACGTTAAGTCTGGGTAACCAGTCCATAGATGTCAAACTTCTGTCTAAATCACCCATTATTAGAAGTTTTGGAAAGAAGAAAATGCTTCATTTTAGATTAAGATTGCCTAAAACATCATTATTTAAATATAACTTCCTATTTTTGACAATTTGCACGGTATGCTGACAAATCCAAAAAAATTCATTACGCAACTTTTAACAACAAAACTTCACGCCATGATAATTTTTCTTTCAACCAAAATATTATTTTTTTGTTCATTTTAAAAAATATATGAGTTGTAGGTGACTGCTCCCTAGCAAGTAAAAAAGGAAATGAAAATTTTTTATGAAAGTTTTTCATGCATATAAAAATGATTAAGAAGGATAATATTTTAGTATGTAATTTTATAAAAATGTATTATAATTGAAAATATTTAAAGCTATTTAAAAGTTTGATAAAAAAATTGATTTTTTTTTTAAAAATAATAATAATTAAAATATGAAATTTATCATTGTATCAAAATGTTTTTAGTTAGAAAAACATAAAAATCCTTCGTTCTGATCAAAAAAATAGTTTTTATTTAACTATTTTTATTTTTTTGAATGCCATTTGAAGGTCACCCAAAAATGCTGTAAAAAACAAAATTACAGCTTTTTAAACTTGATAGCGAGGAGTGAAAAATAAATTTAATCTCTGCAGAATTTAATTTTTCTCGCTGAAGTAAAAAAAAATTGAAGAACGAAACCAAAACTTGTTTGGCAATCGTCAAGTTCTGGGGCTCTTCGGATCGATTTATGCGCAGTGGTTAATTTTTTAAGCGCTAACCATCATGATGGCAACAGTAATCTAAAAATTTCTGCGAAAACATCGAGATTTGTTTACATTTGAAGACAGTAAATTTATTCTACTTTGTTGTTTCTATTGTATAATGTTGTTATATTGTTATAAATAATATTATAGCTTGTTTAACTTATAGGTCACTGGTCTTGCGCCATGGCCCCCTGCGTATTGCGTAGCTGCATTAGTTTGTCCCAGGCCATCAGCTGGTCGAAGACTGTTTTGCTAGTACAGAGGGGAGTCATGACAGCTTGCCGGTCGCATCCTGCTTTGCGAAGATGTCATTCTTACGGGGAACCAAGACTGAGTCCGCAAGAGGTTTTAAATTATCTTATTACTCTCATGTTACAGATTTATTCTAAAATATCATACAGAATCCTTATTAATTGGTGGAATGAAAACTATCATAGTGACATAACGTGCAGATTTGAAATTTTTTTTACAGTTTTCTTTCATATGCTGATTAAGTCAGAAGGACTGCATATTAGATTTATAAGTTTTCTATTTTGAATAACATCTATGATTTGGCTTGTTGCATTACTTAACCACCTGTTTTGTGCAAAAATATAAATGTATATACACAGCCAGGCTTTGAAAAGTTGCAGCACAATATAACTTGTCATGGGTATCATTTGATAAAAATAGCTTAAAGACATATCTTACTCGTTCGGAAATAGGTTTTAATTATTTTATTATTCTTATGTTAATGTTATACATAATTTTGCTTGAATGGAAAATATTTTCCCAACCATAGTGACATAGCATGCAAATTTAAGAATGTTTACCCTTTTTCTTTAATATGCTGATTAAATCAGAAGAACAGTATATAAATTTATTGATATTTCTACTATTTTAAACTGCAGCTGATATGACTTATTGCATTATTTTGTGTAAAATTACAAATATATGTGTATATAGGAAATGTATGTATGGAAAGTTGCTGAAAAGTATAACTTGTTAGGGGTGTCATTTGATAAATGCTACTTAAAAAGAAAAATTTTGCTCTGTTTGTAAGAAGTTTAAATTATTTTATTCTCTTATGTTAGGGATATATATAGTAACGGACAGAAACCATTTATGTAATTTTATGATTGTATTATAAAAAATTTCCACCATGCAGTTTAATGACTTACCTGTTTTTATATATATATATATACACATACATACCGCGGGTCTGCCTAGGCCAAATTTACTACCGTTTAGCCGTACCTTCACAAATTTAACATTAGGAAAAACGGTGGTTTCACAAAATACTTTTTCTTAAAGTTTTATTTTTGCATTCCGTAAAAAAGGATAAATCCATATTTTTACCCTATTTTTGTGTTGATTTTTCAATTTATTTTTTGATTTTTCACAAATTATGCCTAAATTTTCTCAAATTCTGTCTAAATTTTCACAAAATCGGTACCCCTCAGAAAAACCTAGACAGACTCCTGATATATATATATACACTCATACTTTAATTCCTTTTTTCATGCAAATTATAAATAAATGCATATTTTCAGTCATGCTTTGTAAATTTGCAAAGAAACGTAACTTGTTATGGTTATTATTAAATGAAAATTACTTAATCAGTAAACTAATTCATAAAAGTTAGTGAAAGGAAATTATTTAATGTTTGGGTATTTTAAATACTTGGTTTTTATTTCTAAATTCTACTAAGAATATTAATTTCATGGAAAAATCTTACAAGATATTTGAGATAAAAAAGTTAGAACTGTAAGCATATGTGTGATTCATGATAAAGTAATAGAAATATAAACGTATTTGTTCAAGTTTGTTATAACACAAAATTTTTATTTTGGGCAGTTCAATTTTAATATAATTTTTTATTTTTATTTTTTAAATTTGTGCAGTTTAAATTTTTTATTTCTTGAAAACATTCAGATATATAAAAAGAAAAAACTCTAATTTTATAGACAAAATATTTTTAAAAATTTCTGTCCTATCTAACACAACATAACTTGAAGGATTAAAAGACGAAAGACAAGCTATTAACATTTGGAAGATTTACGGTCTTACTTGAACAGTTTGTAGTTACGATACCAAAAATGTCCCTTTTTTCTACAGTACCAAGGTACTAAAAAAATTTGATTTTCAGAAATTTAAATTACATAAATTTGCTTAAACAAAAGAGATAAATATAAAGGATTAACTCTATAATCAAAGATTTAATGCATAAATTTTTTCTGAGAATAATGTTAAATTTGTTTCATTAAATCTAATATTATACCAGCTTACTCTTTCACCACTTTAAAAAAAAAAAAAAATGATAGATAATTTTGATTGGTTCATTGAATACAATCTGTAGATATAAAAAAATAGAATCTTCCTGATTTGACAATTTTATAGTAAAAGTAAGTTCATAAAACAATACTTAATACAGGGTTCATTCTAGTCAGGATTTTTGAGACAGGCACCCTGCATGCCCTTTGAATCTGAATATGCGCCCCGACATATTAAAGTGGAGGCGGATCTGTAGGAACATCATATGTCACATGTCTATTCATATTATTTTTATGAGAGTTGCGAATGGCAACAGATCAAAAAATAATGATAAAAAATGAGTGTTCTAAAAAATGTCTGCTGATCATTTTTATCCTGTAACTCTGTTGCGTACAACTGGTGACCCGGATTTTTGACATGACTACAAAAAACAGTGAAAAGATCGAAGCAACGATCGTCATGGACGCCGAAGCTAATAAAGTAAGCATTAAAATTCCACCTTTTTGGAGAGAGAAACCCGACATTTGGTTTTACCAAGTAGAAGCACAGTTTCAAATAAATAAGATCACAACTGAAGAAACCAAATTTAATTATTTGATATCCCAACTGGAACCGAAGTATGTAGAAAATATTTGGGACATTATTAAAGACACTAAGCCTAACAAATATACCTTGGCAAAAGAAAGACTTTTAAATACGTTTAAAGAAAGCGAAAACAAGAGAATTCAGCGCTTAGTTACAGGATTAGAACTTGGAGATTACAAGCCCAGCCAACTTTTGCAAAAAATGAAAAATTTAGGAGCAGATGATTTTTCAGAAAAAGTGTTAAAATCTTTATGGCTTGATAAAATGCCGAATTTTATACGAAATATTCTGCTTGTCAGTGAAGAAAGTTTAGATAAACTGTCTACGATGGCGGATAAAATTCACGAAATGAAAACTGGGGAAGAAATATGTGCTGTTTCACCAAATGTTACCAACAATGATGCTTTAATTGCACGAATAGCAGCATTAGAACAGAAAATTGATTCACTGCAAATAAATGACCGTAGTAGATCTAAATTTAGAAATAATTACCGAAATACATCTCGAAGTCGCAGTCATTCAATAAAAGCATTCAATAGGAAAGGTAAATATTGTTACTATCATTTTAAATTTGGTAATCGTTGCCGACCTGAGAAATGTTATTCACCATGTGCTTGGCGAGAAAAGTCGGAAAACTCCATGATGCAACAGGATTAGCGGCTACAACTGTTGCTGATGTTAATGAAAGCCGCAAGTTCAGATTATTTGTAAAGGATAAAAAGTCAGGATTACGATTTTTAGTTGATTCAGGAGCTGATGTTAGTCTAATACCTGCAACTCATCGAAATAAAACAGTAGAAGATTTTAAACTATATGCAGCAAATGGATCCGAGATTACAACCTATGGAATCAAAATATTAACTGTTGATTTAGGACTTCGCCGCTCATTTAATTTCCCATTTATTATCGCCAAAATTAATAAAGGAATAATAGGGGCCGATTTCCTTAATAAGTTTAATTTATTAATTGACATTAAAGAAAAAAGATTAATTGATGGAGTAACCAATTTAATAGTTAAAGGAGAAATTTCTCCAATATGCATGACGGAAACAATTTCCACTATGGATAAAAATTCTAAGTTTTCTGAATTATTCTCTTCATATCCAAATTTAACTAAGCCAAACTTATTAATTAGTGATGCTAAACATGAAATTCGACATTTTATCGCCACAACGGGAAAACCTGTGTTTTCTAAGGCACGACAATTAGATCCAAAAAAATTGAAAATAGCCAAAGAAGAATTTCAATTCATGCTAGACAACGGGATTATTAGACCTTCAAAATCGCCCTGGGCAAGTCCCTTACATATGGTTAAAAAGAAGGATGGGTCTTACAGACCATGTGGAGATTATAGAAGACTAAACGACCAAACAATACCAGACCGATATCCAATACCAAGAATCGAAGATTTCCATCATATTTTAAAAGACACCAAAGTATTTTCTAAATTCGATTTATTTAAAGCTTATTATCAACTTCCTATAAATGAAGAGGACAAACAAAAAACCGCAATAATTACCCCTTTCGGACTCTTTGAATTCAACGTTATGAGTTTCGGCCTCAGAAATGCACCTTCAACGTTTCAACGCTTCATAAATGAAGTTCTGTGTGGACTTGATTTCGTTTTTCCTTATCTAGACGATATATTAGTGGCATCTCGAAACAAAGAAGAGCATCAATCTCATTTAAAACAACTTTTTGATAAATTAGATAAATATGGCCTCAGAATCAATATCTCCAAGTCAGTCATTGCTGTGGAGAAATTGGAGTTTTTGGGATATGAAATCAGTTCGGAAGGATCCAAGCCCCTTTCCCAAAAAGTAGAAGCAATCCATAATTACAAGTTGCCAGAAACCATACGTGAACTGAGAACCTTTCTTGGTCTAATAAACTATTATAGACGATACATCAAAGACGCTGCTAAAACACAAGCAATTCTCCACGAATATTTGAAAGGAGCTCATAAAAATGACAAAAGAAAAATAATGTGGACTGAACAAGCTATTAACATGTTTGAAAAATGCAAACAAGACTTATCCAATGTAGCCTTGCTAACATATCCGAAGTTTGAATTACCTCTATGCCTTTGCTCAGATGCTTCAGATTTCGCAATCGGATCTGTATTGGAACAATACGAAAATGGTGCTTGGAAACCGATAGCTTTCTATTCAAAAAAATTAAATGATGCACAGAAATCATATAGTACCTACGACAGAGAATTATTAGGGATATATCTTTCTGTAAAGCATTTCAAACATCTATTAGAAGGTCGAGAATTTACTATATTTACAGACCATAAGCCACTGGTTTTTGCCTTCAAACAAAAAAATGAAAAAGCATCTCCAAGACAAAATAGACATCTCCAGTACATATCCCAGTTTTCGACTAACCTTCAACACATTATTGGCAAAAATAATATCGTCGCAGACGCGTTATCCCGAATTCAAGAAGTAACTAGTGTAGATTATGAGAAAATTGCTGATGATCAAAGTAGTGATGAAGAATTAAAACAACTAATGCAATCAGACACAACCTTAAAATTTAAACAACAACCACTACAGTCTGGTAAATTTCTATGGTGTGATATCTCTGCTAATAAAATTAGACCATATATACCTAAAAATTCAAGAATGATTATTTTCAAACTGATACATGGTTTATCTCATCCAGGAATCAGATCAACTATCAAACAGATAGCGTCAAGATTTATTTGGCCTGGAATTCGAAAAGATGTTCGAATTTGGGCACAATCCTGTATTGATTGCCAAAAAAACAAAATTTCAAAACATACTAAATCCCAGTTTGGAGAATATCGACAACCCGATGAAAGATTTAACGAGATACATATTGACCTAATTGGACCGTTACCCCCATCCAATGGAAACAGATACTGTTTGACTTGTATTGACCGTTTTACAAGCTGGATAGAAGTAGTTCCTATACCTGATATCAAAGCTGAAACAGTCGCCAGATGTTTCTATGAAAATTGGATAGTTAGATTTGGAGTGCCATACAGAGTAATTACCGATAGAGGATCACAGTTTGATTCTGAAACGTTTAAATCTCTTACCAACTTATGTGGAGTAAAAATCAACAGAACAACTGCATATCATCCTCAGTGCAATGGCAAAATTGAGCGTCAACATCGTACATTGAAAACTGCAATAAAGGCACACAACTCTATTAAATGGTCTGAAACTCTTCCTACTGTCTTACTTGGTCTCAGAGCTGCTCTACGCGATGACACCAACTATTCAATATCTCAGATGGTTTATGGTAAATGCATTAAACTTCCTGGTGAATTTTTTGATAACTCAAAAGTGACAACATCCACGGAAAACTTTATTAGCAATCTTCAAAATCAAATGGAAACATTAAAACCTTTAGAGTCAAAATATTTCAAAAGGAACAAAGTATTTGTGCACAAAGATTTAAGTTCATGTTCACATGTTTTTATGCGGATTGATAGAGTCAGGAAGCCATTAGAGTCTCCTTATCAAGGACCCTATAAAGTGATGGATAAGTCAGAAAAGTATTTTGTAATTAGTTATAAAGGAAAAAACGTAAGCATTTCAATAGACAGGCTTAAACCAGCTTATCTACTGAATTCTGAAAATGAGAATCCAGATTACGATGAAAACCTAAAAGCTGCAAAACCTAACGAATGTTTAACATCAAATAAATTACAAGAAAATGCAGCCAATTCCGAGCAAAATGTTAAAATGTCTAGATTTGGCAGAAAAATAAAAAAGCCTGTTCGCTTTTTAGAACAAAACTGTATTAATTAGATACATATACATTTATTTTATATATATATTTTTTATTGCATTGAAACTAGAATGGTATAATTTGTATATATGTTATATTAATATCTTGTATATATGTTTTCGTATTATGATGAGTCATTATGTAGTATAATTTTTGAACTGTATATATGCTGTTATATTATCATTATATGACAAATTTGACATACTGCCCAAGCATCGTAACTTAGTTACTGGTGAGGGAGTATTGTAGGAACATCATATGTCACATGACTATTCATATTACTTTTATGAGAGTTGCGAATGGCAACAGATCAAAAAATAATAATAAAAAATGAGTGTTCTAAAAAATGTCTGCTGATCATTTTTATCCTGTAACTCTGTTGCGTACAGATCATTCACGCCGTTTTTTTTTTTGGTTGTAAATCCATGTGGTTTTTTGATAATTTTTGGCCAAAATAAATCTTATTCTGCCCGTAATTAATTGTTTTTTTCTTTGATCGTTTTCATATGTTTTTAAAAATTCTTATAGATTAAATACGTTGTTATGACATTCCTATTTTGAACTTCAGCTATAACTTTTTGGAAGCCTTCAATTTGTGACAATTCCATCTTAATTTCACTTCGTTTTATGATAGGTTTTATCGACAGTTATTATTTTATTGGCCCTTGTCATACAGTTTTACAAATACAAATTTAGTATGATGATCGAAATTAAAATTTGAGTTATCACTATTTAATGCGCTCAATTCGTTTTGATTCTATCGTAATTTCACTTCGTTTCATTGAAATTTTTTCGAAGCTGTTTTTCATGGCTTTTTCGGCAGTTATTTATCATTTATTGGTCACTTACACATGATTTTTCAAATTGGATATTTTTAATACCGTGCTATTACAACACTCAATTCGTGACGATTTCATTATTATTTCCCGTAGTTAGATGATATTGGGTCGTTCTGAAAGTTCGTGTCGATTCTGTAAGGTAATGTATTGGCGCGAACTTTTCAGAAAACCTAATACTTGTTTTAACAGTTTATTATAATTTTATGGGGCATTTGCATATGGTTTTTTAAATTTTTCCCGATACTTTTATAAGTTTTAATATGACGTTTACATTTCAAATTTGAGTTATCACTTTTTGAAGCATTCGATTTGCAACGATTTCATTGTGATTGACTTTATTTCTAGAAATTTCTACTTATTCTTTCTTTATCTGATAATTTTTGTACCATGTTATTACGACAAGCGAGTTTTTTGATTTAAGGAGTCACTTTTCGACATTCTCAATTTATATCGATTCTGTAAATGCACATTGTTTATAGATCCTTTTTTTGGCAGCTGTTTGTCTTTTCTTGATTATTTCCTTGATTCTCGAAGATTCCATCGTAAATCCACATTTATTTAAGATGCTTTTTCGGCAATTACTATTATTTATCGTTTTCATTCATTTTGACATCGTTTTTAGATTCCCGATATGTTTAATAAGTTATTATTATAGGAATGATATTGATTGTAAAGTGGCTGTAAAATATCTGGTGAATCAGAAAATTCTATATAGGGCCAATATTGGAAAAATAAAGGCCCTTTGAACGCTAACTGAGCCAAGATTCATGAATATTGGCCCAAGGAGGGCCCAAGTTATTTTGCTGCTCGGTTGGGTGTGCTTAAAGATGTGACAAGGGATTCTGAATCTTTAATTTTCTAAAATAATTAAATTTGGGAGAAGTTAATGTTATGACTTAATAACCTATGCTTAGTTATAAAATCTACTTTATTTATAGCTTAATAATACCCCCCCCCCCATTAATTCTAAAATCTTCATTTATGTATTTTAGGTATCTTCCCTTCTAAGAATCAATGAAGTCAATCAAGAAGTCAACTCATTCTCTGTCAGAGCATTTGAAGCAAATCAATTATCCTCCAACATACCAATTGAAGATAGGATTTCCATTGCCAGGTGCAGGTACACTACAGGTTTACTTTTTGGTGTGTTTGATGGCCATGGTGGAGGTGAAGTTGCTGAAACTTTAAGTCACAGACTCTTCGATTACATTGCTCTTAAACTTTTGCCTGCTTCCGTTCTTCAAGAATTAGTAGATTCTGAAGTTAATTTATGTGGTCAGTTAATTGAACATTATACTGAAAAGAGGCTGTCTTCAAAAATGTTGGACATACACAACGACAGTTTGAAAAGATATGCCAAAGAACTTCTAGGTACTAAGAATGAAGAGTTTGATTTTCAAATGCAGAATGCTCTTTCACAAGCTTTTGTAAAGCTAGATAATGATATATCACGAGAAATCCAGGAATTTTCCAACAGTAACATAGACTTATTGGCTCTTGCTATTATGGGTGCTTGTGCATGTGTTGCCCACATTGATGGTTCTCATCTTCACTTAGCGACCAGTGGTGACTGTCGCGCTGTTCTGGGAATTCTTTCAGATGCAAACAAATGGATATGTAAACCCTTAGGAAGTGAGCATAACACAGATAATGTTGAAGAGATGAGACGTGTAATGTCTGAACATCCTAAGTCAGAAATGAACACAGTCATAAAAAATGAAAGACTTTTGGGACAGTTAGCGCCATTGCGAGCATTTGGTGATTATCCGTATAAATGGAAAACTGCTCTGCAGAAAAAGCTACTTGTGCCAATGTTTGGAGCTGGGATACTGCCGCCAAATTACTACACTCCGCCCTACTTAACTGCCAAACCAGAAGTATTTCATCATCATCTGACAGCTCGTGATAAGTTTTTGATCTTAGCTACTGATGGTTTGTGGGAACAGATGTTACCACATAAAGTTGTCAAATTTGTGGGGGAACATATGAGTGGTAAACAAACTTTAGATTTGCTAAGACTACCACGAAGACGCATGAGTTTGGATGACATTAATGAAATATTAGTTCAAAGGCACATTGGTCTTTCTAAACAACCAACTGATAAAAATGCAGCAACTCATTTAATAAGAAATGCTCTAGGTAGAACTGAATACGGAGTTGAGCATAGTCGTTTGTCTGCTATGCTATCTTTGCCCGATGAACAAGTGAGAAACTTTCGAGACGATATTTCTGTGATTGTTGTTTTTCTAGATACTGATTACTTGCGTCACAGTCCTGCAGATTGATTAAAGTTTTAAAAGAAAAAGCTGTCACTGATTTGTGTTTATTTGAACATTTCTCTTTTTAAAATGTTCAGCATTAGTGTTAAATGTCTGAAAAAATCATAGAGTGTTTTTATTTTATGAATTATTTAATCGGTTTTAGAAGACAATCATAGCGTATGTGCCATGACAAATTTCTATGTGTTATTAGATAAAAAAAATCATCTTTAGTAGCAATTCTTTTCACTTTTAATTGTAAGTGTATTTTTTTAAAAATTTCACTATGTCTTTAGGTAAAAATCACTAAGTATTTAGTTAGTTTTTTATCTGTGCAAAAAAGCAAAAAATACTATTTTAACTAGCAAAATAGTTTTAAAACTATGCTTTGAATTACTTTTGACACTTCATAAATAGGATTTTATTGAAGTAACACAACTTAAACAAAGGCTCCAATGTAGCGTCACTAGATGCGTTTGTAAATTGGATATGTTATGGTCCCTTTAATTGGTTACAAGAGTCATTTACAAGATGACTTTATAAATGTTCTTAAGTTTAAACTGTTGGAGGCTTCTCCAATCGGGGGGAGGATGAGTCAAAATAGGCCTGTAGGCACTGTTGTGAGGAATCACTAACACTCTATCAATTAAATAGGGAAAATATCCGTTCTTTCTTTTATTTCTTCATTCCAAAAAAGGAATATTTTATTAACTTTTAAACCTCAGGAATTTTTTGAAATAAGTAATTTTTTGACAATAGTTCAATCCATTCTATTTTCCTTTAAAATAACATCTGAGAAACCAGATTGTTATGTTGTAAAGCATGAATATCAGAAAACAGAATTACACCAAAAAGACAATTAAATGGTTAATATCTTTTGGAATAACAGGTGGGGGGAGGGAATCAGTTTGTATTATAAGAAAGTACACAAAACAAAGGACTGAATTCAATAATTAGGATATTCAAAGGGTTATGTAAAAAATTTCTAAATAAATCAAATGAAAATTAGGGTTAATCAGTATAAACTTCGGAATATATATCTTAGTGTCTTGTGAGTATTTCCGTGAGAGGCTTGGTGCTCTATGTTTTATTGGTACTGCCATAATGCCAAAGTTTAATGCTCAAAGTTTTATATTATTAATTACTTAAATATTATGAATATTTCTTATGCAATTGTTCATTTAACAAAATTTGATGTGTTTTACCTCTGAATTTTTTTATACTTTTTTTTACATTTTTCAATGAATGTTAAAAACAAAAATCTACAGTGAATATTTTCATCAAATACATTTTATGAAATGTAATGTTAGTGGTATCATATTTCGATAGCTTGAAGCCAAATTTGTTACGAATTATATATTTTGCTTTTCTCCACTTTGTTCAAATCACTGTGCACTCTCATTTATAAGCCTATGTTGCCTCATTTTTATTTTATGTGTTTCCCCATAAAAAATTTATTTGAGAATTGTCTTTAATTTTTGATGATTAAAGTTAAGTTTTATTGTTAATAATATTTTTTTCTCATCCTATTTGAATTATAGGAATAGTAAGTAATTGAAACGGTTTTTAATGAATGTATAAATGTATGTTTTGCATTATTAAATTATTATACATAATATTAAAATACTTGCTTAATGCTTTTATATTATAATAATTTATTGATCAATATTTTTTTTGTGGTTAAAAACAAATATGATGAAAGGAAATGGTAAATAAATCCGAAAAAAATTTCATTATAATAGGAAAGCGTAACCACATAAATATTCTATTATTTTGCTTCTTGCTTGAAGAAAAGCTTTCTTATCTAAGAATAAATTTAAATTCTATTTAAAAATTTAATGTCATTAAAAAAAATTAAATCATGTTGACAGGTTTAATTGACTTTTTTGAAAAAAAAAATCTGATAGTTCTAGGAGTTATTATAATATTATTGATCTGTTTTGTTGTTAATTTCATGAATTAATTGATAGAAATTAAATTTATTTTTAAAATAAAAATTCTTTGTTTTTAACCAAACAAATGGTTTGTGATGGCACTTGTGATATATTTCAAAATTATTCTGAGTCATGTTTTAGTTAAAAGCATTATAATCAGTGATTTAACAGCAAAAAGAAAAAAATACTAATTTATTTAGATTCCTGAAATTTGTCTGTAACATTTTAAATATTATTGAAGTTGAAATATATTTTCTAAAATGGCCTTCTTGTGCAGTTAAACCACTGACTATAATGCCACCTGAATGCACGTTTACAGAGGATTGAAGAGCATTTTGCTGTTTCTTTAAAAACTTGGTTTTGATTTTCCATCTGTTTATTATTATGAGTCTAAGAAAATTATTTGTTTACGTGAAAGTCGTCTAGTCACTTATTTTTTTTAGTTTGAATGCTTACTTTGTTTCACAAGCTTTATTCTTAAGAAATAAATTCAGTTGTTTGTAAAGGTTAATACTCCTCCTTTTCTTTTTGAAAATTGTCTTTGTTAATACCGTTTTATAGTAAAATCACTTTAATTTAAATTTGGTTTTCATTTAAATTGTGGTTTTCATTTAAATTGTGGTTTTATTTTAAATTGTGATGATATTGAAGCACATTAGTTACGTTTCACTGCACTGGTTAAGAGCTTTATTTAAAGTATTTTAAATTATTAAAAATTGTGCTTGAAAAATCATTGTATGTAATCAAAGTTATAAAATTCATTTGAAAATTTATTAACACTGCAGAAATCATAAATTAAGCTGCTAACTAATGCCACTAGAATGATTACCTTTTCAATATTGTTAAAGAACTCAGACTAATTTCTCTATTGAATTTATAAAAACATTTTCCCATCTATTATTATAAACTGTTCTCTCCAGAAAATCATATTTTTTCTTATACATTAACATAAACTTTTCACAATTAAGTTTAGGTCTAAACTTTTAATTACCTCACCCTCATTTTAGTTTGACATTGTGTTATACTTTAAGAAGCTATTTTTAAACTTTTTTTTTTAGTTATTCATCTTCATGTATGCCAAACTGATTGATCTATTTTTGTGTTGTAATTGTGAAAATTATATTACTGTTAGTTCTTTTAAAGGATACGTGTGAGGTCTTCCTGATTTTATCTAATTGTAATATGCCTTTTTTTCTCAGAACGATGTAAATTTTTATGACATAAATATTTATCAATATTTCACATATTAATGCCTTCACTGTTTTGTCTATATTTAGACTTTAACTGTTTTTTTTTTAATTATTTGTAACTTAGATCAGCCTTTTATTTTAGTTTGATAAGTTCAGTTTTGAAATAAGATATCTCTGAATTACCTTGGTTAAAAAAAATTATCAACACATATCTTGGCATAAATTTAACCGTTTAAATGCTTTGCCAAAATATCTTTTTCACCATAAAGTTTATAACTAGGGTTCATATAGATAGTTCATAGTGATTTTTAAGTTCATATAGAGCTTAAGAATCCTTAAGTCTTGATTCAAAAATCTGTTTTTAAGACCTTTAAAACGTGTTAATTTTTCATTTTTGAATGTTGTTAATTAATTAATTTTTCTTATGGAATTTTAGTTTTTTTTATAATTGTTTTTATGTACATAGCTTACTGTAAAAAAATTTATCTCTCATTAACCATTATTATTTTGCCTATCAAAAGCTATGTTAAGCAAAGTTCATACAGTTACTTAAAATGATTAAGAGTTCTTAATTTAAAAAAAAAAAAATTATTTTAAGCCACTTGAAAAATACCTATTTTTCTCTTTTGTTGACTTTAATTGATTCAGGCTCTGAGTTTCAGGTTTTTTAAAAGTTTTTATTTTATTTTTAAAGGAATTATTATTTGCTATTGACTTTGATTATTAAAAGCTCATTAAGTTGATAAGGATTCTTAAAATCATTATAAGTTCTAAATTGTAAAAGCTAATTAATGTAAGACACTTAAAAAGAGCTTATTTTTCATTTTTGTCAGTTTTTAATTGGCTGGTTGTAATTATTTATCACTAAATTTCATCTAATTAAATTTTTTTTTGATTAGCTTAAATGATTCATCTGTTGTTGTAAACATGTCTATATTAAGTTAAAAAGTTTTTTCTTCCTTGTGTTGGTACAATGGATGTTACAGATTATGATGTTACTATTTTTATGATCTTCCTTTACAAAACATCATACATGAACAAACTCATAAAACTACTGGCATAAATGTAATTACATATTTTTTAATCCATGTAAAGTTAGATACATATTTAATTATCATTAATGTATATGTTAAATAAAGTAAAATTATATATTTCCTAATGTTTTTGGATAACTGTATATTTTGCATAAAATTTAATTAACTACAATGCATGTATTTTACTTTAGAATCAATGTACTTCTTAGATGATTATTCAAACCTTCATGTATCAAGCTCTTGTTCAAAATTTTTAAAAAATCAAAAATCTTATAAATTTGCTAAATTTTTAGTTAGCAATTTTTATTTAATTTAAAATCTTCCTTTAATCATCTTTATTTTTAAATGAAGATTTCTGTTAGGATTTCTCTAGTTTTAGCTTTGGAAAAGTGTGATTGTCATATGATTATATAAAGCTATTTATATGTGTAGTCAAGATGCATCACTACTTTTTTTTCTTGTGTCTAAATAATGATTTTTTTGTTCTATTGTTAGTTTGTGTTATTAGTTATATTCAGTGTGATAGTTGAGTTTATTTAATGTTAAACTGCTTCTAGTTTATTTGTATTTTAAGAAAAAATTATTTTTCAGAATTCTGTGTTGATTTTTTTTCTGCTTATGTGACCGATAATTAAAATTTTACATGAAAGCAGGTTAAGTTGATATTATAACTTTTTTTAAGCTTTTCATAGTTAATAATTCATGTAATGTTGCACGATATTGTCGCAATTTTTATTGTTCTGTGTCCGATATAAATATTGGGTGTACAAAATGAGGCCAGATGTTTATTTTTGTTACAGTATGAAACTGGCAGCTACTTACTTAAATTCTGAAGAAATTTTTTTGGAAGAAAATAATTATTAAACCAAAATAATTTTTTTTTCAGCAAGAGAAAAAACTTAGAAAGTTAATACTAACACTGAAATCAAAATCTTTTCTCTCTTTTTCTAAATGAGATGTTAAAATTTCCTTTTTATTCTTTTCCAAAATTTATTGTCTTAATTAATGTGTAAGAAAATGGTTAGTTTCTTCTTAGTTTTGTACTTAGAATAACTTTTGACTTAGAGGGAAATACTGTCTTTTTAGACCAGTATTAATATTTCCCATTAAGAATTTTTGGAATGAAACTTTCTATTTTTTAAGAATAGTGTACTTAAATGGCTTCCTTAAATTGCACTCAATATTATGCATTGCTTAAACAGTCATACAAATATAACTGTTAGATGTATTTCACACATGATGCTCAAACGATGGTTTTTATGAGTAAATATTTCTTTATTATATAGTGAGAATACAAAGATATTTTTGTCTTAACAACATTCAACTAAATGAACCTTGCAATCTTGCATTATTGAACATCTGTGTTTGGCGTGTGTGCTACTGTTAAAGCTCAAAAGCTGTTAATATGCACATTACATAGCTAAGCTGCAGATTAACCAGGGTAATCCGTAAAAGAGCAGAATCAAGAGTTTTCCACAATTTACCTAGATAATGTGCGTCTTAATGATTTATGTCTTGTTAAAATTCAAAAGTTTGTTTCTCTCATTTTATCAACTAATTTATTAATTGTATTTATTCACACAATTTATTAGAGTTTGAAAAGTAAATAAATGACATATTTATTTCCTTAATTGTAATACCATTTTAAACCCTTTGATTCCTTGCATTATAGTTTTTAAAGCAATTAATTCTATCATTTAATTTGTTGAGTGTATAACTTGATTTTTTAAATAGTGAAAAAGAACTAAATAAAATAATGTTAATTTAAGCGTACAGAAATCTTCCAGCCTAGATCTTTTTTCACTTCAATGAATGCCTAGTAGGTAAAGTACAGATTATCTATAGTTTGGAGATTACCTCTGGGAAATGAAACAATTATTAGTGCTTTATCTTTTAATCCAATATTCGTGCTTTATCTTTTAACAGCCAACTGATTTCTACATACTTAATTTCTTACTTCTACCTCTTCAGGCCATAGGGAGCACGAGATAAGGGGAGGTAAAGAGTAATATTATGTCTCTCCATCTCACTCTGTTGGTGGCGCCAAATACTTTATCTCTCTCCATGTTCTGTTTATTTTATTTTATAACCGTCGTTGAACAGCCGACCCAATTTTTTGGTTTTACGTCTACTAATGTTCAACTCTGTAGTCTTGCAATTTTGAGCCCAATTAAGTATTAGGAGAAATTAGCCTTGTGGAGGACTTTTTAATGGAACCAACCTGCGTTTGCTTTACATGCAGAGAAAGACCACGAAAAACCTCCCATGGTTAACCTGATTGCAAGGAGACTCTCACCCATGATCTGTCTATCACTGAGGATATTTTACGTCAGCATTGTGGTTGGTGCGAGCCGGGTGCGGAATTGGAATTGACCAGCCATTGCTGGAATTTTAATCCGGTTCACCTCATTGGAAGGTGATTGCTCTATTCCCTGAGTTATGGTTCATGTTTTGTTTATTGTCTTATTACTTTTATAATAGTTCTCCGTCATATCACCGACTCCATTTTAGGTCTACCCCTTTTTTGTTTACCCTGGGATGTCTATTTTACTTTGAATTATTCTTGTTTTCTGATAGTGTATCCAATCTCAGACCATTTACGATCTCTGTTTTTTAGTTTTATTGGGTTTTGTTATACTTTAGAGGTAACGTAAATAAAAAATCTATACAGGGGATTCAAAAAGTATGTAAACAATTCAATATCTTGAGAAATAGATATGCTAAATAACATTCAATGGCTATCACAAAATCTAAAATAGAGACCCTCGCTTTTTAAAGCAAATTTAAATCCCCCCCCCCCCCCCCC